ATCGTAGTTCTGAGTGTGATGAGCACTATGAGGATGTTTCGGGATCTTTGTGCCAGGGCATGCGACGATGTGCACTTGCTTGAGCTGTGCACTGACCTCCTCGCCGCGCGTGCCCACGAGACTGAATGGGTTGAAGACCGCGAGCGAAAGGAAGGACACTCGAGCGGCCATCATGCCACGGCTCCCTCGGGAGCACGGCCGCGGCGGTGCCCTCATCGTGTGGCGGACATTTGGCGCCCACCTGGTGCCTCCACCAGCCCCGCCGCAATCGCCAGAGCCGAGAGGGGCTTATATGTGTATATTTATATATATATATATATCAAGCTGGTAGCCCCTATCCCTGGTCGGGGAGACGCAAGACTCGGAGCTCGGGGGACTCGGGTTGGCCCGACGGGGCCGCCAAGAGAACAACGAGACCCGATCTGAAATGTGGCGCGAGCTCCCGCTGCGAAAACATCCCACGGAAACTTGGCCGTCAGAACTCAAGACGGGACCGTAAAAAAACAATGGCATACCCTGGTACCGTATCATGCCGCTCGGATGCCATACCGTTATGTTGTCAAAATTCCAAGATGGCCCTGACTGCTCCAAAATTGCCCTGTACCGTCGCAAAAGAACGACGATGAACGACGAGGAACCGTCAAAAAGGACGGCGAGGCACCGTACCATGTTTGGAATCCCTTCAGGCCCCGCTCCAACGCGGTACGGAGCATGATATTTCGCCTCACAAGGGGCCGGGAAGCAATGCACCGTGCCATCGACGACGCCCCGGGAGACGCCAACGCTGAACGGTGCACACGGTGTCGTCTGATCTGACCTCCACTGGCCAGGTGACGTCTCCGCAGCGAGTGATGGCGTGGGCCGCAGACGGCTGGTCGGCGCCCCGCGGGGGCGGGCGGGCGCTGCCGCCGCCGCCGTCGTCGCGCCGCCGCCGCTCACTGCCGCGCGCGAGCCATCGTGAACTCTGCTGGGCGTGGCCGGGGGTGTGCTGCGCCTGCGCGAGGCGAAGGGGCGTGCCCCAGGAAACCGCACACGCCCGCGCGGTGCCTCTGGACCCCTCCCTGCCCGCCAGCAGCCTGGCGGCGAGCACGCCCCGCACGCGGCCTCCGCCCGGGGGGGGGTTGCCATGGGGGGCGTGGCGGGCCTCCCGGGGCCGCCAGACGGTGGACGACGTCAACGTTTACGGCAGGGTCGTGAGGATCCCGGCACTGCCGATCGTTCCAGGTTGAACGGTCGGCGGCTTCTGGATCGACAGATCGTTCTGTATTGGCCGACCCCAGACCGCCGCTGGCGTTCAACCTCGAACGACCGCGCTGGGGTCGCCGCCGCGTCGACGCGACGCGAACCCACCGTGCGACACCAAATAGACCCACGCAGCCACGCGCGCCAGCACGCGCGGGCAACGTGCATCGAGCTGGTCCGACACGCGGTCGGCGTCGTCCAGAGAAGCTGCAGCACGCGGGGAGGTCCGCTCGGGGCCCGCCCACTCCCACCCGCGCAGAGCCGGAGGGGGCCGGGGGCCGCCACTTGCCAGGGCGCGGCCTCAGCGCGGGGTCGAGACAGGGAAGAGGTCGTCCCTCGCACGCCTTCGGGGCAGTGGGGGGCTGGCATTTCCGCGCTGGTGAGGCCCTGGGTTGTGCACGGGCAGCCCCCCCCCCCACGGTAGGCCCGGCTGGCCTCGGTAGGCCCCCGAGTTGTATGACTTGTGGAGCCCGCTCCAGACTACTCGGGGTGCATGTTGCGGCCAGCTGGGACTACTCGGAACGGAACGGAACGGGACGCCTGTGCGGGCATGTGCCCAGGTTCCTTAAGGGCGAGGCATCTGAGGCCATGACCTCGTATAAAAACCTGCGCGCGCGGGGCGCCTGCTCAGGAAGATGTGCGGTTCGCGAAGTGCTCTACTGGCCAGCTGCTCCCGCTCCCTTGATTGCTGTAGCTGGGTGTGGCCACGTGGCGCCATCGAGGTCACAATGCCTTCGCGGGGGGCCTGTTGAGGCCAACTGGGGGGGCTGGGTATGTGCTGCACGCACTCTCATGGAGCAGCGGGCCCTCGAGGCGCTCGGCAGAACTGCAGATCTGCAGGCCGGAGTTACGAGCTCACTCTTCCCTGTAAGACGAAGTCAGGACGAGGATTAAATCGGGTGAAGATAAATCGAGAATCTCTGAGATCTGGCGGCTTTGGAGGCTGTCTCGGGCGCCGAGGCCTTCTCAGAGCGTTCCGGAACGCTCTCAGGAACGGATTTATCCTCGTCCTGGCCCCGTCCGACCCTCCTCCACTCTTGGGGACCTCCATCATCCCTGGCCTGGAAATGAATAGCGGATGAGGCACAAAAGTGCGGCAAGTGTGGGGGGTGGGCAGTTGCACCGAGCTGTCCAGAGCAGAGCGCCCAAAGAGAGCAGAAGACGGAGGAGTCGGGTGCCTCGGCTGCGACCCGGCTGGATACATTGCTATGCCATCGCGCTGACATTGGCATCATATTTTGATGCCGCGTTTTAGGTAACGGATCGCTGTCCCTTCCGATCATTCGTATCCTACTCCATCTCTGCATATTCCCGTGACATCTGTAACTACTCATCCTCGCAGCCGTCCTCCTCCTCCTCCTCCTCCTCCTCCTTCTTGTCCTCATTATTGTCCTCCTTCTTGTCCTTCTGCTCGTCCTGCTCATCCTACTGCTTCGTCCCTGCCACCGTCGTCGCCCGCCACCTGTGCATCCTTGACATCACCCTCCCCGCCCCCTTCGTCCGCTCAAATTCCCCCGTCGGGTCTGACATTAGGTCGGGCCTGTCCCCCTACAGGCCGATTTTGGACGAAAATTAAAACATACCAAACAACAAATCCAACAATCTGCAAAAATAGTCCAGAAATCGTCCCCATACTACTTTTTAGTTAGTTTGGAACGTTCCCCTTGTAGAGGGACAGGCCCGACTTAACACTAACATCATCATGCGGCAGGCCTTGCAGCATCAGCGCAGCCAGGCAGGGCGAAAGCTGGCACTTCTTGTCGATGGCCTCGACCTGAACGCAGGAAGCCGAACGCACCCCTGCACGCCAACGCCGATGGCAACGACCACGAGACAACCTCTTTGAGATGCCGTGCTTTGGCGGCGCGCGCAAGGGGGTGGGGGGAGGGGGGAGGGCTTCTTAGAAGAGGCTGCTTCTTAGAAGGCGCCTGCCTTACATCCATAGATGAGGCCCGCGCCTTGTAAGAAGCAGGGGTGCTTCTAAGAAGTCCTCCCCCCTCACCCCACCCCCCTCTGCGCGTGGCTGAGCGCTTTCACACACTCGCGTCAAACAAGCGAGTTTGCGCAGGCAAGTTGTAGTACCCCATGCATGTTTCTCGGCTCTCCTCTCATGGCCAGCAACAGGAACGCGCGCAAACGAAAGAATCCGGCACTCGCAGCGGAAAGCACCTGGCTTCCTGATCCCATGCAGTACCAAGATCACCGTGCGCGCGCTCGCACTTCGTATTCCCTCCAGGGATGCAGCAGCAGCAGCAGCAGCAACACAGTCGGCGGGGACGCCAAAAATAGACCTCCCGCCCGCCCGCACCGCACGCACTCGCGCCTTGCCCTCCGCTGCCGCGGCGTGAAGAACAGCACGGGCACCAAGCTAAATGGCCACTTAATGACCACGAAAGCAGTACGAGGCTTCGCTCACAACGATGCGGGGGCCAGGTGCGTTACGTGGCACGGACTCACGCACGCAAACACACACACACACACACGAACACACAAACACACACACACACACATACACGAACACACACACACACACGATCACACACACACACGAACACACACACACACACATACGCACACACACGCGGACAAACACACACACACACACACACGCATACACAAACACACACACATGCATACATAAACTCATACACAAACCCACACACCCACACACGCACACACACACAAACACACACATACTCATACTTTTTGGCGCCGCGGCCACGCGCGTGGCGGCTCGGCGCAGGGCGCCTCCACAGAAGAAACCAGAGAAACGTGCGGGCCAGGGCAAGGCACACACACGCACACACACTCACACACACACACACACGCACACACACACTAGACAAACAAAACGCACACATACGAACATGCTTTCCTCCAACAATCTGTTGCAAACAGTCAGCGGGTTTACATTACTAGAGCGGGCTATGCTCAACAAGATGTGCAATATTGCAGCGGGGTGAACAAAGCCGGGGAACTGGGATGACATCGGGCGTGGTCGACCAGCAGGCGGCAAAGACCAGACGAATGTAGGGAGGGAGCGAAAATCCACACGCGCACACACACACACGCTTACAAATATTCACTCTTTCCTTGACCGCCGCGATGGGCTTGAATCGCGGCCAGCGAAAGAAATATCCACTTTGTGTGGGAGCGTGTGCTGACCGGGTCTGGTCGGCGGTCGGTGGTCGGTTTCCTCATCTGCCCGTCGGTCGTTCGGTCGGGCGCGCGGTCTGCTGGTTTGCCGGTCTGCTGGTCGGTCTGCTGATCGGCGGTCGGCGAGGTCTTCGCTTGGTGGTCGTGGTAGTTGGTGGAACTGCTGGTCGTTGGTTGGTAGGTTGTCTGCTGGTCTGCTGGTCGGCGGTCGGTGGTCGGTCTGCTGGTCAGCTGGATGGACCGATGTTAAGGTTAAAGTTAAAGACGGGGCCTTAAAGGCGAAAGAAAAAAGGACCGAGGGGCCCCCAGGGGCCACCAGCACCCCCCGAGACACGCCCTCCCGAGAGGGGCCGCCTAGGGCCGCCTCTCCCCGCGGGGGCCGCCCTGGGCCTCCACCGCGGCCACCAGGGGACGGCTGCCGAACGCATGACAAGCCGCCCCCCCCCCCCCCCCGCAGCAGCGCAGAAAAGAACAAAACTTCACTACCTGCGCCAGAGTGAACTCGACTGCATTGCAAATACACAGCGTGCACATTCAAGCACAGGAGGCCTCACTCACGACTCCCAGCATCAAGATGTGATGACAGCACAAGTCAGAAGCGATCACTGACCATCCACCTCGAAGCAATCGCCGTGATAAATAATCACTACGAAGTCCCTTCTGCAACAGTAAGCTCTCAGCGCGGGCTTCGACCTCTGCCCTGTCTCCGCGTGTAAGCTCACGCTGCAGAAGCCAATCCTCGGCGCGGCCTTCGGCGAGGCCCAGGGGCGATTCCACTCCCGAGAGCGGACCGCGGGCCACACCGCGGCCAAGCCGAACTCATCGAGGAAAGGGAGGAACCGCTCGGCACTCGCCGCAACGGCGGCCCGTTCGGAACCAGCGGCGCCCCTCACCAGCTCCACGGCCGTGCCGCCGCTCAGCACCGCCGCGCCGAAGCGGTCCAGATACTCCAGGACGTGGCTGTCGGGCTCCGAACGGGCGGGGGGTCCAGGGCAGGCCGTGTCCCCGTCCGCGTCGCCGTCGACAGGGCCGTCCAAACAGCCGTCATCGAAGCCGTCGTCGCTGCCTGGGCCCGCCAGGCTCTCCAGAAGCAGCGGCGGCCGCGGCGCTCTCTCGCCTGCAGTACCGCCTAGCACACCATCGAACGCACGGCACGGCGCATGGAGGGCGGCCCTGCCGTCCTCCTCCATCGCCGCGCCTGCCTTCCAAACCCCCTCACGGGGAGGGCCAGGCTCTGCCCTGGCGACAGGGGCAGCCTGCCCGCCGCCGCACGCACCGTCGCTGCAGACCTCCCAAACTCCACGGAAGGACGAGGAGGGCACGCACTGCTCCTGCAGCCCCACGCCGTCGCCGCCCCGCGGAGCGCCGGAGTCCGTCCCAGCAAGGCGCCAGCCCGCGTCGAAGCCCTCCCGGAAGGCCCTCGCCCCGGCCAGAGGGTCAGCGACCAGCCAAACGCTTGGCGGGGGAGGGAACGCACCGCCGCTCGCCTGGGCGTCAGCCTCCGCCAGGAGCTCCGCTTCAAGATCAGCGACGTGAATGGCATCTGCGCCCACAGCCCGCGGCTCCTCCTCCGCTGAACTCGCCGCTGCGGCCGACCTCGGGCACGGGAGGCGCGGCCCGCGCTGCGCCCTCCTCCAGGCGGCCCGCGGAACGCCAGGCCGCGGGAGGGCCCGCGCGTGGCACCCCACATTGCGCTCGAGGATGCGGTCCTCCTCCAGCGGCCCGCCGTACTCATGGGCGATCAGCACGGGCGCCACAAGCGCCAGGCGGTGCAGGACGCTGGGGGGGGGGCCGATGCCAGGCTCCGCAGCTCCACGAGCTCGGACGCCTGGCGCTCCACCAGGCGCTCGCGGGAGAGGGCTGCCCAGCGCTGTGCGGCCCGCCGCTCGCGCTGAGGCCTCCACAACGCCTCAGACGGCCGCCACGGCCGTCTCCCCGCCGCCATCGCTCCCAAGCCCGCACCCTCCAGCGGCGCCCTCACGGCCATGCGCGCCCAGCACGGGAGACCGAAGGACGGGCCACGGGAAATGGCTTGAGCCAAAATGGCTTGAGCCAAAATGGCTACGGATGGACCGATGTTCGGTCTGTTGGTCTGCTGGTCTGCTGTTCGGCGAGGTCGTCGCTTGGTGGCAGGCTCCGCTGGTCGGCGGGCCCGTTACCGAGCCCGGGGACCATCAGTCATTGATCCGAGACGAAACAGCACCTCCAGGGAAGGGCTCGGGACCTCTGGGGCCGCGGGCTGAAAAAAAAAAAACAGATCGGCGGATGTCTGGGGAGGACGACAAGGGGAGGGCGCACGAGGGTCGGGCGCCGGGTCGAGCTAAAAACCCGGGTGAATCAAGCTTTGCAAAATCCTGCAGGATCCTGCAGGATGCTGCGGGAATCCGAACGCAAGCCCGGGTCAGTGCAGCAACCCCAGCTCTGCAGGATCCTGCAAGACGTGGCGCCCTGGCTGACCCTCGCTTGCATCGGCCCCCGTCTCAAGGCTCCCGAGCAAGAAAGAGGAGAGGGGTGCCGGGGCGAGGCCGAAGGAGCCGCCGGGGCAGGTGGAGGCGAAGGAGCAACGGGGTGGGGTGAGGGGCAGAGGACGCGAAGGCGGACAAAGAGGACGAGGCTCAAAGGCAGCAAGCCAGGAAGGCGGAGGAGGACGAGGCGCGGCCCTTGCCGCGAGCCCTCGCGCCGGGCGACTTGCGAGCTGCTCCAGCGAGCCTCCGAGGTTTTGCTTCGTGCGCGCGCAGAAACCGCGCGACGCAGCAGAGAACACAACGAAAGCCGAACGCGCCGCCGACCAGCAAAGTGACGCGCCTCGGGGGAAGCGACCCTGCAAAGGTGTTACGCGGCCCGCGGCGCATGTGCGCAGCGCAGCAGAAAGGCGCGAGAGGCGAGGCAAACGTGACAGAGGAGGCGAAACCAGGGCCGAGACGGCAAGCGGCCCGCGGCGACCGATTTGCACGGGAGGAGTTGGCGCGGAGAACGGGGGGGCACCAGGCTAAGCTTCACTTGGGAACGTCCTCCTGCAAGCGGATGTTGGACGAACCACCTAAAAATTATCCCTGCGCCCCCGATAACAATCCCCGGGGGATAATAAAGTTCGGGGTCTGGCGTGGATAACCAACGATTTCCCGGCGGGTGATGGTGAAGCTGATGATGATGACGATGATGATGATGAGTATGAACGATGATGATGATGATGATGACGATGATGATGATGAACAGTGTGATGATAATGATGATGATGACGATGATGATGATGATCATGGGCGCTCGTGTAGACTGACTTTCTAGATATTCGCGCAAGGCTGACTCGACAGATCTCGAATCTGGACGCTCGTCTAACCGTGTGCAGGATGCGCGAAAAAATAAATCCAATGTTCTTTTTGCTGGAAAAAACACGAGCAACTTCAAATCCCAATCGGTCCCCATGGCCCTACCGCGCGTTCCTGACTCGGGAACGACTGAGAAAGTGAGAATCCCATGGCCCTGCCGCGAGTTCGTGATGTGGGAAAACTGCAACGGTGAGAATCCCATTGCCCCGCCACGCGCTCGTGATTGCGAAAGCTGAAATGGTGAGACCACCATTGCCATGCTCAGCGTTTTGATGATGTTGCTAGTCAACGTAAGATGATATCAACTTCGGGTCGCAACTTCCCCCGGGGATTACCAAATTCGGCCTCGCCGCCCCTTTCCACAATCAATTCCTATTGGCACGGGACAATAAATGCATATTCCAAAGGGCTAAAGGGCTGCACTTCCTTTTTATCCGGGGCATGGGGGTTACTCCGACGGAAGGACCCCACGTGAAAATCTGTTCGGCGAATCTGGAAATAACCTTTCACTGTCGTCCTCGCGATTAGTGAGGCGCCCTTCTTGTCTTCTCTGCGTCACTATTATTCTCGCCCTGGTGCGTGGCCCTCACCCGCTCACCGCGTTGCCCTTGCCTCGCCCTCCTGCTGTTTCGCCACGTCCTCTCCTGTCTATTGCAAGACCGCGCGCGTCGATTTTCCTCCACGCCGTCGCCGCCTCGGCCAGCGCGGGCGCATTCTCGAATGGCCGCGTCCCGCGGCCATTGGGGCAACCCCGCGGGCCAGGTCGTTGGGGCAACCGCGCGAGCCGCTGGGGCGAGGGAGCAACCCGTTGGGACAACCCCGCAGGCACCGAGCTACTCACGGCCGCGCTCAGGCGGGAGGCAGCACGAAGCCAAGCCCGATTCGGCCGAGGATGGGTTACCACCCCCGGCCCAGAACCCCCTGCGCCCGATTCGGCTGACGATGGGTTACCACCGCCAGCCTGGAGACAAGGGTTTCCCCCTGCCCCCGATTCTCACCACCGCCAGCCCGGAGACAAGGGTTTCCCCCTGCCCCCGCTTCGGCCGAGGATGGGTTCCCACCCCCAGCCCGGACGCAAGGGTTTCTCCCTGCGCCCGCCCGCCGTCGTCGTCCTCACCTCCTGTTCCTCCTCTTCCTCCTCACCTGATGGGTCGGGCGAATCGCCATCTGAAAAGCGCATAAGGAGGGGTTTCCCGCCTGAGACTTCCTCACTGTGCACTCACAAACGAGGATCCCCGCCTGATGTTTCCTCCATATTCACGCCTCGGGAGCCCCAACGTGACGACAGTTACAGGTTCGAGGATGTCCCGCTCGGACTAAAAACATGAGCGCGGGCCCCATAGGGAGAGGGCTCCCGCCTGAGACTTCCTGCCAGCTCACTCACAGACGAGGCTCCCGCCTGATACTTCCCCCATGATATTCAAGCCTCGGGAGCCAAAACATGACGATAGTCACAGGTTCGAGGATGACCTGTTCGGATTACATACATGAAATGCGGGCCCCATATGGAGAGGGCTCCCGCCTGAGACTTCCTCGCAGTTCACTCACAAACGAGGCTCCCGCCTGATACTTCCCCCACACTAAGGAGCCCAAAAATGACGACAATTACATATTCGAGGATGACCCGCTCAGATTAACAAGCAAACCGCCTGAGGCACCACAACGAACTGGCCGCGAACGGGCCAAAGAAAACACCCCAGGCGGTTCCCCGCTTACAGGGTTGAGGATGACCCGCTCGGATTAAAAACATGAAGTGCGGGCCCCATAGGGAAGGGGCTCCTGCCTGAGACTTCCTCGCAGTTCACTCGCAGACGAAGTTCCCGCCTGATATGTCCCTCAATTTCAGGCCTCGGGAGTCCAAACATTATGACGGTTACAGGTTCGACGATGACTCGCTCGGATTACAAACATGAAATGCGGGCCCCATATGGAGAGGGCTCCCGCCTGAGACTTCCTCGCAATTCACTCACCAGACGAGCCTCCCGCCTGATACTTCCCCCATATTCAAGCCTCAGGAGTCCAAAAATGATGACGGTTACAAGTTCGAGGATGAACCGCTCGGATTACAAACATGAGTTGCGGGCCCAATATGGAGAAGGTTCCCACGTGAGACTTCCTCGCAATTCACTCACAGACGAGCCTCCCGCCGGATATTCCCCCCATATTCAGGCCTCAGGGGCCCAAAAATGACGACAATTACAAGTTCGAGGATGAACCGCTAGGATGAAAAACATTATCCTGGCAAATGACCCAACCATACGCAAGTGTGAGAACCGCAGGCAAGTGGGACGAAGCAAAGGGAATTCCCAATGGGGCCACAAACCGTGTGAAGGGTGCGCCAAAATGGCGCGGGGCCGCCATGCGAACCCTGCCACTGGGGCCTTCGGTGGAGCTCCCTATGGGGCCACGAACCGTGTGAGGGGTGCGCCGACATGGGGCGGGGCCGCCATGCGAACCCTGCCTCTGGGGCCTTCGGTGGAGCTCCCTATGGGGCCACGAACCGTGTGAGGGGTGCGCCAAAATGGCGCGGGGCCGCCATGCGAACCCTGTCACTGCGGCCTTCTGTGGAGCCCCATATGAAGCCACGAACCGTGTGAGGGGTGCGCCAAAATGGCGCGGGGCCGCCATGCGAACCCTGCCGCCGGGGCCTTCGGTGGAGCTCCCTATGGGGCCACGAACCGTGTGAGGGGTGCGCCGACATGGGGCGGGGCCGCCATCCGAACCCTGCCACTGGGGCCTTCGGTGGAATTCCCTATGAGGGCACGAACCGTGCGGGGGGTGCGCCAAAATGAAGCGGGGCCGCCATGCGAACCCTGCCACTGGGGCCTTCGGTGGAACTCCCTATGGGGCCACGAACCGTGTGA